TAAGCGTATCTATTTTTATTTTTTGCTCTTCATGTTAGTAAGTAATTGTAACATGACTGTTATCTGCTGTGCTTCGTTTTGGTCGCTTATCATTTTTGTGAGTATTTCGGTGTTTTTTATGGAATGTTTTATTAACTCATTGATTTCTGTAGCGTCGTTGCTTTGGTTGTTCTGTTCTTGGTTGTCTAAGTGTGACGACCGGTTGACTACTTGCGCGTAGCTTCGCTTTCTAGCGGTGTTGGTGTTAGTGTGGTTATTGTTCCTTGCGTGCTGTGTTTTTGGTGTTGACGTAGGTTCTATGTTGTTCTTTTGCGTGTGGAGATTGTTGTGTGTCCTGTTACGAAGCGGCGAAAAAAGTTTGCCTTGAAGTTGCTTTCTTACTAGACAGCCTTTGTAACTCGCTGGGTGATTTCCACCGCAATTGTAGCATTTGACGTCGTTTATTTTTCCCGTGCGTGGGCAGTTCGATGTTAGGTGCTTTTCTGCGCATTTGACACACGCCGGGTTCCTGTTGCAGTAACTTTTATTGTGTCCATATTGTTGACACCTCATGCATTGTGGTATGTCTTTTTTGTGCCTGGATGGCTAGACTGTGATTAGTGTGTTTAAGATTTTTTTAATATCGAAAATTTCCTTGTTGTTATTTTTAGGTTCTAATTCTATTAAGAATAGCGGTAGTAGTTGCTTCGTATCGTACCTTGTAATATTGTTTATAGTACTTGTTTGGTGGCCCATCTTTGCTAATTCGTCACTTAGTTTTTTTGTGTTGATTTTTGGGCGCAGTCCTCTTGTAACTACTTTGTAGCTCCTTTCCGTTTTGAACTGGTACGTGTGCTATATGGCATTTTTCCCCTTAATTCTTTTATAACTTTTCTGTAATTTTCTGGTGTGTTTGTTTGGATTTTTATTTGTTCTAGTTTTGTTTGTGTTATTGTGTAACTATCCTTTCCAACAATATTGTTAAGTTGATCGATAAGCAGGTCTATTATTTGCGCCTCAACAAATATTGGTGGTGGTTTTGTGATGTATGTTGATTGGGTTCTGGTGTTGCTTGTTGGGTTGTCGCCTGATTCTTCTGTTAGCGAGCTGAAGGAGTTTCTTAGCGGTAATTCTTGCAGCCATCGCTGCTTTTCCGTATCTAGATTATCTGTTCTTTTTCTTTTTTTTTCATAGCTGGCTACCTTCCAGCTTTCGTCCTGTTGAGTTGTTACTTTGTTGATTTCCATGACAACTTCAACTGTGGCTGAGCAGTCCTGTCCTTGGTTTGTTTGTTGACTTGTTTTTGATGTATCTGTTGTTTTGTATATGTAGCATTAATCTTTTTTGTTTATAATTATACTGGTGCAATATTTTTCATGGTAGGTTGCTAGTCTTCTTAATAGAAAACACGGGTTTCCAACGTTTGGCTATGGGCGTAACCGTTCTTAACTTTCTTATCCCCACTTGGCGCACTTTTCTGAAGCACTACTTTGCACGTCCAGTTAGCTCGGCTACTCGGGCAATACAGATTGTCACTGGTGTCGCGAGTGCCTAATCACCGTGATTAATTGTCAGAACTGTAACAATCCCATTATTGCAATAAACTACACCTTTTTTTGCGCGCGAGGAGGGGAAAATGTTATGACCCGCGTCACTGAGTTATGTGGGACTCGGCAGATGACGTCGCCGTACCCACTAAAATTCCCTCCTCCTGTTCACTGCATTGAGGTATTCGAGGTACCAACCCGGTACAATCATTCGATATTACTTCGGGTTGGCCTTACATTACTTCGGGTTGGCCTCTACTTATGCATACCCATATTCATCGGCAATCTTCCACGCTAAACTCTCCTCTTCCTGCTTTCTCTTCTCCGCAGAGCCTCCACCTCCCTCTCCTTGTTAAGCCGATTCGTCATGACTGTGGTGCACACATTACTAAATTTGAGCCATAGCCGCTCCTCGGCGGCCAGCTTCTCCACGATCCTGTTCTCTATCCTGCTTTCTTCTCCTACCTCGGCCTCCAACTCCGCGCGCTCCCCTGTCCATCTAGGGCACCAGAACAGCACGTGCTCGGCATCGTCCACGGCGGCTCCGCAATCCCAGCAACTGGTGTGCGTCTCTTTCCCAATCCTGTGACGGTGCCAGTTGAAGATACCGTGCCCAGTGAGAATCTGCATGACGTGGTAGTTGACGCCCCTCTTCGTTCTGTAGAAGATCAACGGTTCCTCTATCAACCTCTTAGTCCAGCTGTAGGGATTGTGGAACGTCCATTCCACCCTCCATCTGTCCTCGGCTTCGGTCTTCAGCCTCCATTCCCTTTGCATTCTCGACGATCCGCCTTTTCACGCCGTACTGCTTCCACCGCACCCACGCCTTAATGTGTGTTACCCGTCACCACGCACAAGGCTCCATGCGACACTGTAAGATAGGCGGTAGACGTACGGATCATCACCGCCCTCTGTACCCTCTTGATGATATTCCTGTTCTTCACCGTGCTGGGGATGAGGCCCATATAGGTGCACCATACAGGACCACGGACTCTCATACCCCATAATAGAGCCTTCGGACCTCGTCCCTAGGCCCATTCACGTTGGGGAGCAGGCCCCGTATGGCGCCCAAGAACCGTTCCGCCTTGTCACAGGCCGATTCGAGGAGGGCGGAGAACCCCCTAGCAATATCCAACCAAACTCCCAAGTACTTCACTGTAGTAGGTTAGGAGGATAACCTCCGTCTTCTCTCTTGCCAGATGAAGTCCCACGTCGCTGCACCAACTGGTGGCCGTGCTGATGACCGCCCTTATCCTGTCGTGGATGCCGAGGAACTCCCTGGCCTTAAGGAGTGCCGCCAGGTCGTCAGCAAACGCCACGCTTCGATGTCCTTCTCCCGGTCGAGCATCTCCAAAATTCCGTCGTACACGAGGTTCCATAGTAGCGATCCTAAGACCGACCCCTGCGGAAGCCCCGCACCGACCTTCCTCCTTACGACGCCGTCCCGGCAGTGCGCTATGATCCTCCCATCGGCCAGGTAATCCCCGATCAACCCCTGAAGTCGTCCTGACAACCGCCTGCTTCCTCCAGAATACTCCGCAACCTCAGCGTATTGAACGCGTTCTTCACGTCAAGGGCGACCAGAACGCATAACAGGCCCTTTCTTCTGCAGTCCTCTGCAACCGCGACCGTCCTGTTCGAGGGTCCCCCTCCTCCTCCTGAAACCAAACTGGCCCTTGTGGAAGGGATCTCGCCCGATGCTCCTCTCGATGAGTATCTTCAGCGTGTGCTCTCAGACCTTGCTCAATGCCGGCAGTATGCTGATCGGCCTGTAAGCCGACGACAGTGTCGGGTCTCTGTTGGGTTTGGGTATCAGCACCACCACAGCCACCTTCCATACCGCCGGTATCCTACCGCAGTTGTTAACTCCATTGAGCACAGCTAGGAGCACCCTCGGTCTTCGTTCCGCCAGCAGTCTGATCAAAGTACCGGGGATCCCATCCATCCCTGCAGCCTTTCTAGGATGGCATTTCCTGACAGCCATCTTCAAATCTTCCTCGTTTATCCGTAGATCCGTAGCTCCGTCTGGTACCCCAGGTGGGGCCAGTCCGATTTCTGGCCTATCCAGTCGCGATTGCTGCTCGGTAACGAAGAGGTCGTCCAGGATACTCGCTACCCTGTCACCTCCGAGGGGCTCGGATGGTACCGACCGCACCAATCTGCTCCTCACCACTTGATACGGCCTGCCCCACGGATCCTGGTCTAAAGTGGCACAGAACCCCTTCCAGCACTCCTCCTTAATGCGTCCGATCGCCCTCTTCAGGCTCCTTCGCGCAGCCTTGAATTCGTCCACCAGGACTTCCGCATCTCCCCTGCGAGCCGCCTCCGCTCGTTGCGCTCTTTCTCTGCTCCTGCACATTGCGCTCCTTAACGTGGCTAGCTCGCTGTTCCACCAGTAATTGGCTCGTCTTCTCGACGGGAACTTCTTCCTCAATGTCTCGGCACACGTGCGCTCCAAACTATTCTGTAGCCTTTCGCCGCATGCCGACTCGTCGCTTCTTAAAACGTGCTCCGCGTAGACAGCGTCGAATTTGCTCACAAAGCTATCCGCATCGATCTGCTTCGTCGAGTACACGAACGCCCCGCCAACCGCCCTCTTAACGCTGCTCGTAAATACGTATAGTATATAATAATGGTCAGAGGCTGAGTACCAATCCAAGACGGCACTCCTCCTCCAACTCAGCCTCATACGTCGAACGATACACAACACATCCGGGAAGCTAATCCTTCCATTCCTCAGAAAGGAATAGTTCCCCGTCGTCCTAATCGGTACCAACCCGCGCTTCGTGATCACGTTCAACAGGTATGCCCCCTCCGTTCGGTCTTAATGCCACCCCACACTCTAGACTTGGCATTAAAGTCGCCGGTGACCATTAGCGCCGCTTCTCCTCCCCTCCTTCAGAACTCCGTCTAGTTCCCCCCAAAAAGCATCGAAAATGCACCTAGTCGTATTCGGAGAACAGTACCCACTGACACAGAACACGTCGCCGACCCTGATTCCTACGATCCCAGCCTTTTGGACCAGGGTCTCGCTCATCGCGTATCCACCGTTAAACAGGGTGACCTATACGGATGCATCCCCGCCCTCGTTGTTAAACCAATAAGGCAATTGCCTGTAGGGCTGAGAGATGACCACGATGTCCACCCTGCTTTCACACGCGTACTGCATCATCAGGTCCTGCGCCAGTCTGCGCCTATTTAAGTTGATTTATAACGCCCTAATTGCGTCCCCGTCTGAAGGTACCAATACCAACGCGTACCAGACCACTGGGCACGCCAACAAACCGGCTCTCGAGAGCTCCTGGCCTCCATGATCCTCGTGTAGATCTGCAGCCAGTTACTTGCTTCACCTTCACCAGGATGGCTTCCCTCCTTCTCCTACTTCTCGGTACTTCCCTTCCAATAGCCTGTACCTCCCTGTCCCTGTCCGGATGCATCAAGTGCACAGACTGGACGGGAGTATCCAGTACCGCCACGGGCGCTCTTCTCTCCTTCCTTCTTCTTACCACCCTCCTCCATCCATCAGATTCTTCGCTGCCCTCCTCTTCTCTTCGCGCGTCCCTGAATTGCTTCCCGCATGCCTCCGCGTAAGAAGCCTCTCCCCTCCTCGGCCTCTTTCGTTCCTCCGCTCTCAATATCTCCGCCGGCGATACCACCTTTCTCTTGGGGTGGCTGCCCTTGTCCGTCGCTACTTCCTTCCTCGGTATTGTTCCCGCGCCTATCTCCTCTTCCTCCGGGGTTCTCTTCCTCCTCCTTCTCCTCGCTTTCCGCTCCCCCCATTGTTCTAAGGAGGACAGGATACCCTTTATCACGTTCCCCATCCCCCTGATGCCCTCGTCGTCGTCCTCGTCCAATCTAAGTTTTCGGACCGTCATACCTAACATTTGTACCGCTCCCGCGAGGGCCCGGGTCAATCCTTTAAGTCCCGCCCTAAAGATCAGGACGTTTTCTTCTTCCTCACCGTCGCTAGGCTGGGTATCCTCCCTGGCACTATCCTCCAGCTCGCTAGTCGTGGTCGCCCTAATCCGCCTCCTTTTGGTGTTTCTATCTACCACCTTCCTCACCAACTACACCGGCGACCCTTTCCTAGGTATCACAGGCGTGGTGAAGTCGCTGTCCCTTACACCGTAGGAACCACCCGACTCCTCCATCACCTCCACCTGAGATCTACCTCCGATCGTCGGGTTTCTCTGAAGCTTCTTCGTGGGTCTAAAGGGATCACCCTCTTTTACTCCCTTCTGCCTCGAGATTACCGATATGGTGACCTTCTCATTCAACCTGATATCCGCCACCTTCCCCGGCTTCTCCCCACTCAGTGATAGCTTCCTCGTCTCTCCTTCCTTATCTCCTTTGTCCCCTGTAGTAATTACCGTACGAGGGGATGCCGTACGGAGAGTGCCCGGGGATCCACCTCTCCCCGCCGTTCTTCCAGTCGCATGATGACCGTCGGGTCGAGCCTGGGAAGCTACTCGAACTCCCGACGGAGCCTGGGGGCTCCGAAACCCCCTGCGCCGTATGTTTCAATCCTTGCAATAAACTACACCTGTGTTGTACCGCATCAATGGCTAATTCCTGTGGAGATTCATTTGACGCCCACAACCTTAATCCCTGTGTTCATCCGACATATAAAAGAAGACTAGGCGAACTTGGGTATTCCACGGATCCTTCGAATTATAGCCGCTTGCAGAACTGCGTAATAAAAATTATTATTATTAATGGTATGAGTTAGGTTTAGAATAATCTAAGTCTTTTAAATTACAGTTTATATCGAGCTTTATATTTTATTGTTTTTATTTCAACTTAAATACATTTCAGCCAATATCAACAATGATTCTTACAGTCTCGAATACGCAGTTTTAAATAATTAATCATTGTTGGATTTGGAAAGTAGAGTTCAAAGACAAAGGCATCAATGTCTAATGAATGTAAATAAATAAATCGCCAAGCAATACGACGAACAAAACGGCGAACGTGTCAGCTATGCTTGCGATTCTGTTAGAGATATACATGTAGTGTTACCGACAGTTTTTGCGAATATCTCGGAAGCTAAGACCGAGCGGCGGTAAAATGCCAAAGAAGAAGTTGTTGAAAATGTTGATTTCTACAACATATCATGGAAATTCAAGCTGTCGGCCACTTCTTAAATAATTTATTATCTAACATTTTATTCTCATTCTTATTCATTATTCATTAATTTTTTTCTTTAAAAGGAACATTTATTCGTTCATGTTTTTTCTAAATAATTATGTTCGGTACATTATAGAGAAAATTTTTATTCGTCTTTATGCAATAAAAAATTCTCACTTATAAATTGACTTCAATGTATCACTATACATCTGGTAAAGATGAATAGTAGCAGAATGAACCATAAATATCTCGAAAATAAGATCACATCACGTATATGTATGTTGAGTCAAGTACCGAGTCTGGGCCCGAGTCGTCCTCGTGGCGGGGGCTTGGGACAGGTAAGGATTCCTCACTGAAGCTATCCATGTTTTCTTTTACACTGAAGTTATTTTTATTGACACACGAAATTGTTACAGAGTTGACACAAACTCACAATGACCACACACTCGCGACGCTAGTGACAATGGTCTTAGGTTCGATAACGAGTCCGCGGACAACAGGACGGTAGTCGTA